CCCCCCAAAAAAAACCTGTGTTAAAAAGTTATCGTCAACACACTGCAGAAACCTTCAGGACTGTTTGTGCCTTGCTGTGCTGTCAATCCAGTTGGTATCAGGGTGGCTGAAGTCTCCCATGAGAAAAAGGGCCTGTGGCCGTGAGGCAACTTGCAGCTGTCTGTAGAAGGCCTCATCAACCTCCTCCTCCTGATCGGGTGGCCTGTAGCAGACACCCACCACAGTGTCTCCCATGTTAGCCTGTCCTTTAACCCTTGCCCACAAATTCTCAACTCGCTCCTCATCCACTCCCAGTTGAGCTTCATGCATTCCAGTTGCTCTCTGACATAAAGAGTGACCCCACACCTTCCCTTCCCAACCTRTCCTTCCTAAATGTGCATAGCCTTCCATGACAGCACTCCAGCTGCGTGAACTGTCCTACCATGTCTTTGTAATTCAAGATCATGATGCTGGSACCGCACACAGATCTGCACTTTGTCCTGTTTGTTTCCCATGCTTCATGCATTGGTGTACAGGCATTTAAGGGAAGTATTTGAGCCTGAAGGTTTTCCAGGAGAAGTGAAAGAGGACCCTCTATAATCATATCGTGTACTCACTTTGCCACTACCATTCTGCCACTGCTGGGCACCTTCTGACTTCGGCTGTAGGACATTGATGGCCCTGTTTATGTAATACTCCCCTTTCGCCTTCTTGCTTAGTTTAAWGCCCTCCTAATGAGGTTGGCCAGCCTTTTAGCAAAGACATGTGTGCCCCTCTTGCTGAGSTGCCTGTCATTATTCATGATAACAAACATGATAACCACTTCTCCATCTGCATGTGAAGGTCTCTACAATATTTATTAAGTGAACATAAATAATAATTACAGAAGAAAGGAAAAGAGAGGTTCACATTTTGTGCATCTCTCGAATCACTTCTCAGCCTTGTGTGATCTTCATTCCTCCTCTTCTGCCTTCTTATGAAACTCGCGGCTCTTGGCTCGGAGCTTGTTGACCTGCGACTCCGCAATGTCAGCCCGCTCCTCGGCTTCCTCCAGCTCGTGCTGGATCTTGCGGAATTTGGAGAGGTTGACATTGGACAGCTCCTCCTRYAGGGGGAAAGCGAGTTCATGAAGAGCACAGTGGTGATGCTTAAGATTTACCAAGAAATTTCAGAGACAAAATTTGACCAGAATAAAWTTCAAACTCCACAGCTGGGCAAGCAGAGCGGGTTTCATACATAACAAAGCAGGAAGCTGCTCAAGGCCTCAAGTGCRTCAAAGCAGAAGAGAGCACTGTGGTATCAAAATGGCCATAAGAACTTAACATACTTGTCCATAATAGCCCAAGAAAGACAGACAGTCTTTGCCTGTGGGTGCTTCTGACACCCACATTAGGATAGAAAGTAGGAAATAGAATGGGAGTGAGGATTTGAAAAGAATGCCAAAAGAGGCCCATTGCAAAAGCAGCAGTTCTTCCTCCTGCATTTCTSCCTTCTTAGTGGTAGCAAAAGCACCGAAACAATTCTAAAGGCCTCAAAAAAACTGTAGAGTAGAAAAGGCCACTGAAGTATTCCACTTCCATCAGGAGGAAGCCTGACCGTGTACAAGTCAATACTTACAGCTTCCTCAGCTTGCCTCTTGTAGGATTTCACCTTCATCTGCAGCTTATCTACCAGATCCTGGAGTCTGAGAACATTCTTCCGGTCTTCTTCAGACTAAAACAAAAAGTGATAGAACTTGCAGAACATTGCAGCCAAGTAAGAGAGAGTTGATAATTCTATTAATTAGTTTGTCAACATATTGAGAAGGACTGAAGAAAAATCCCACTGGAAGGCAAAAAGCAAACATTTGTTTTTCCTGGGCAGAGGGTAARTCACTACAATCAGGATTCCTGCCTTACCTGGTAGGTCAGCTCCTTCACCCTCCTCTCGTATTTGCGCACACCCTTCACGGCTTCAGCGCTGCGCTTCTGCTCGGAATCAACCTCCCCTTCCAGCTCGCGCACCTACAATGGGAAAACAATTCATGGAACTTCACTGGWGGTGCCTCATGGCACATGCTCCCTCATGCATCAACACCAGCCCTTACTCACCCTGGCCTCCAGCTTCTGGATTTGCTTCTTGCCTCCTTTCAGTGCCAGCTGCTCAGCCTCATCCAGACGGTGCTGCAGGTCCTTCACTGTCTGGTCCAAGTTCTTCTTCATCCTCTCCAGGTGGGCACTCGTGTCCTGCTCCTTCTTCAGCTCTTCTGCCATCATGGCTGCCTGCAGAGCAAAGGAATAGAGTCAGTTTGGGATGGGAGGCATGTTGGGTCAGAATCCATCCACSACMAGCCASTAARGAGYCCCCARCTCACATCTGTGATGGCTTTCTTGGCCTTCTCTTCAGCGTTGCGGGCTTCCTGGATTGTGTCCTCCATTTCACTCTGAATGTGGGAAATGTCTGTTTCCAGCTTCTTCTTGGTGTTGATCAAGCTGGTGTTCTGTGGAAACAGCATCACATATTTGTGTTTTTTAGCTCATAATACCAAATCAAAAATTGTTCCGTCTATTTGACCCTGCGTGTACAGGGGAGTTGGACTAGATGACCTCTAAAGGTTCTTTCCAACCTTATTGACTCTATGATTCTTTGATTCTATAATTCTATGATCCTGTTTTTCAATATGAAGTATTCCATCTGGTCACAGGATATTCTCTTCTATAGGAGTTGCCATTGCAGATCATGACTGTCTCAGCTGTGATGCACCRTAGTATTTTAAGAGCATCTTCCATAACTTTTCCATAGTTTATGAGAAAACAGGAATTTAGATTTATGAGACTTACTGTTTTCAATCTAGTGTCGGTAAATAATTTAAATGGTACCATGAAATAATTTTAAYGACTTTGCTAAATGATGTTAATGATTAGTTAGTTAAAAATGTTAGTGAAATCAGTTTTGTTAATGTTAAATATAATTATCAGCTTAGGTTTCAATTTATAGATAGAAATGTAGGAAAGCTGTTTATTCTCACATAGACCACGAWCTTGAAATTCTCTGAATTTTTAAAATGTTTTATTATCTCTACTGTAATCTAATTAAATCTACGTTATCTTTCCAGCTAATACCTTAATGTTAATATTTCTAATCTGTGCTGTGACTTTTTCAAGACTTTTTAAAAAGTCTTGAAATTTTACAGTGCTTTTACAGTGCATCCGAACTTCAGTTGTTTTGTGTCTGTAGAACAGAAATAAACAAATAAATAAATATAAAAATACTGACCTGGGTATGGAGGAGCTGCACACGCTCACTTGCATCCAGCAGCTCCTGCTCAGCCACTTTCCTGGACCGCTCYGTCTGCTCCAGGGCTGCCCGTAGCTCCTCTACTTCAGCCTGCAACAGGTTGGCTCTGCGCTCCACCATGGCCACCTGCTCCTTCAGGTCCTCCTGTGACCTGATAGCATCGTCCAAGTGGATCTGGGTATCCTGTAAAAGAGGCAAGAGAGATTAAAGCGACGCACAGCAATCCTGAACTCTGAAATTTTAAAGATGTATGTATTCTTCTGCCTGTATCATTTTTCTAATGGACCTTGAGCACTCCCTGTGCATTTCTTAGATTCTTCTGTGCATCTGCTGCCTGGCGGTTGGCRTGGCTCAGCTGGATCTCCATTTCATTCAGGTCTCCCTCCATCTTCTTCTTCAGCCTCAGGGCTTCATTCCTGCTCCTGATCTCAGCATCCAGCGTGCTCTGCATGGACTCCACAACTCGGAGATGGTTTCTCTTCAGCTGTTCAATTTCCTCATCTTTTTCTGCTATCTTCCGGTCAATCTCAGACTTGATCTGGTTGAGCTCCAGCTGGAGGCGCAGGATCTTCCCCTCCTCATGTTCCAGGGAGGCCTGTAAAACAAACAAAGTCATTCACATTAAGTAACCTCTTGAACAATAATGCATAGCTTCAGGTCTGACACTATATCACAGAAAACAATTCCATCGTATGTGAGGTTATAATGATGCTTGAAATCCTATTCTTTCTGTGTATTTATCCTCCCAGTCACATAAATTCATAAATGATTTCAAAGGTTTCTGGGCACTAAGTAAAAAAGCAAGAATGGATGGATGTACCTCAGCTTCCTCCAGAGATGCTTGGAGCTCAGATTTCTCCTGCTCAGCCTGCTTCTTCGCTTTCTCCAGCTCATGGACAGCCTTTCCTCCCTCTGCAATCTGCTCCGTGAGGTCAGAAATCTCCTCTGTAGGGACAGAGCCAAATGGCCTGGTCAGGCACTGACTGCGAGGGCAGGCACAGACACCCTGCTACGTGGAGGTGACAGACATTCACACAGTGGTAAAGGAACAGACCCATGTGTAATGGTGGATAGAGAAGTTAGGAGAAAAACCATGTGAGGATTAGAGCATCTTGAGACTTACGCTGCAAGTTCTTGTTCTCCCGCTTCAGGGTTTCCAGGTGGTCCAGGGACTCCTCATAGGCATTCTTCATCTTGAAMAGCTCYGTGCTGAGAGAGCGAGCCTCCTTCTGGGAGGCTTCCAGCTCAGCCTGTGTTTCCTCATACTTCTGCTTCCACTCTGACAGGATCTGAGGAAAAATGCATGGTCAGAGTATGGACCTGGCAGTCACGAGGGGATACTCTGTCACAAGACGACAAGGTTGGAGCCCATTTTACCTTGTCGAAATTCTTCTGCTTCTTGTCCAGAGCTGCACAAGCTGCGTTCGACCTCTCCACATCAATCATCAGGTCCTCCACTTCATTCTGCAGCCGCTGCTTTGTCTTTTCCAGGGAAGCACATTTGGAGTTCACAGCCTCAACGTGTTCCTCGGCATCCTGCAGACGCTGTGCCAGCTTCTTCCTGGGAGGTGGTAGACACAGATCCCGGTGAGGAAGCACAGGGGAGSCTGTGGGTGCAGCTGGAGTGTTTTTCATAGCAGCACACTTGGCCAGTTGGCAGTGTGAGATCCCCCTTCACACCCMGCCCAGCACCTCTGCCAGCCATTCATCATATTCCCAGGTCCTATTGCCAGGCAGCTCTAGCAATACCTCTGCCCTCTGTGTGCATCCTATTTGGCCTCTCTCTGCCATCCTCYATTTCCTCGGCTTTGTTGCTTTTGTCAACCGACATCACCTATGGGATATTTTTCCCCCTTCCAGCCATCCTAACCCTAAGCAGTTAGGATAGTGCTGTCTGACAGCATGTCCGTGGTCTCTTCTGACTTCCCCATTAGCCTCTGCTTCCCCATCTTCCCCACATACTTGGCCTCCTCCAGTTCCTCCGTGCGCTGAATGGCATCCGTCTCATATTTGGTCCTCCACTGGGCCACTTCACTGTTGGCCTTGGACA